TTCAATAAACAAACAAGTAACTTCAAAGATAACACATGAGAGGTATGTGAAAAGGTCCATGAGGACACAAAAGAGGGAGTGTTTAGGTCTAACCCAGGGCCTTAGGAAGAAATTCAAAGAGGAAGTGACAGGAAAGTTGTTCAAAGAGAATATTCACTAAGCCAATGGGAATGATAGAACAGGCTAGAGAATGCAAGAACTTGAAGTCCTTAAACCTTTGACTGACATAGCTGCCTATCAAGATAGTGGTCAGTCCCACCTTAACACTTAAAAGATGCTGGTTTATGGATACCAGTGTTTTGTTTCTTGAGCTCAGCCAGTGCTCTCACTTGGGTGGACTTCAGGATTTACCTAGTGGAAGAATGCGTTTGAGAGAGGAGTGGGGCAGAGATACTTCAGTCTACTATTTTGCTGAGGGATTTGATGGACACCTGCTGCCCACTGAGGCTGACATGCCTCATTTTCTCACATGAAGCATCACAGGGAGATTCCCTAAGACTTCTTAGTTCCATTATTTCATCCATCCTCTCACCAAGTTAACCATTTATAAGCCCAATCTACATTTGGAATCAAACTTTTAAAATAGTTTCTAGAAGTCTAACCATGAGTTCACTACATTTGTGTTTAGGATAAAACGTTTTCAGGAAGTCTAGTTTTGTTTCTCATCTGTTTCATTTGCAGCACCCAAATAAGGAGGTCAAGCTGTAGGAGGTGAGAGGGGAATCTCTCTAACTTGCTCTACTCCCTTGTTATTTCTCGTAGATGGCTGAGTGTTTCCTAAAGTTTAGGGAAATAACCATTTAAGCTGGAGAGCCTAGACCCTAAATCATCTGGTCAGTTAATGTGTGATAATTTCAGGGTAAGGTCTTGGCCAGGAAAGTGTGAGCCAGTGAGTGCCCAAGTCACATAGCCAGGCAGTAGATGAGCTGTGACTGGTACAGGTTCAGTGTTTCTTCACTGCACTACTCCTGCTTCCTAAACTCTCTGGATATTAATAAGTCCGTTTTAACACACTCATATAAAAGAGAGTGTAGAGAGAGTAACTTCTGTCTTATCTGGAAGTTTGGAAAATGTACTGCATAAGACTCTTTCTGACTTCAAAGCCAGTGGTTCCATGCACTGAGTACCTACAATAAAAACTGAACATCAACCACAGGAAGGTGTAGTAGAGAGAGACATGGCCTGGGAGTTAGAATAATGAGACTTCACCCCGCTCAGTCATATGTTGCCCTGAGGTCTTGGGACAATCACTTGTCTTTCATCTCTGGACCTCAATCCCTTCATCTTATGAGTGAGGAAATTGAAGTTAACATGTTACGATTCTTAGTGCTAAGGTATGGATCTTGAGCATGATTCCAAGAAATAGGACTGCTGAGGGAAGACTTTCTGGAGAGGGGCCATTTTCAAGACTCCTCATGAAATGATAAACAGGAATCATTCCAGGCCAAAATTAACCAGTGATGAAAGGACAGAGTTGAGGAATGGGCGTTGTGGAAGAAAGAGGTCCTCCTCTCATTCATAAAATAAGGGGTTAGGTTAGATTGAGGTTAAGAAGTAAGTTTTACTTTAAATGTCAGTTCCAACAATTTATTAATGGCCCTAATAAGGATTCGGAGATATCCAAGTTAGTGAGAGTACTGTAATTGATTGGCAATGTCTGCCATGGTCAAGGAAAGGAAGAAAGGTAGCATTACTGCTATGGGTTTGCCATTCCTTGACTAGAAGAGCCCCACGAGTCCTGTAGTTTTCAAATTCTAAGACACTTCTTTATCCTTAAAAGACTGTAATGTACTGTGTTTAGTTTAGCAGAGACCCCCCCACATCTAAACCAGAGTCTCTATAGACCAGAGGGGAGCTCTCTTCCTAAGAAGGAAGTCCCTTGAGGCTTCCATTCCCTTCACAGCTCCAAGGAGACAGGAGTCTGGAGACTAGGATGACACTGCTGCACTCCCAGGAGCAGTGCACTGGCTGATGGAAGAGTAAAGAAAGCACATAGAGGACACTAACACTAATTGAGCCCTTCCTATGTGACAGGCAGAGCCGCTGACGTCCCATACAGTTACTTTGTGCAAATTTGAAGGTGGCAGCCCTTCCTTGGGGCTGGTGTAGCCCCACACCTGGGTGCAGTGTCTGGCAAGTAAAGTATGACGGTGGGGGAGGAGCAGGGGGTGCGCACAGCAGGAGGTGAGCAGCAGGTGAACAAGCAAAGCTTCATCTGTATTTACAGCCACTCCCCATCATGCACATCACGGCCTGAGCTCCGCCTCCCCACCCAACCCACTCCCACCCCCCACTCCACCACCATCCATGGAAAAATTGTCTTCTATGAATCCAGTGCCCGGTGCCAAAAAGGTCGGGACCACTGCATACAGCAATGAATTAGACATGGTCCTTGCCCAGCAAGGGGAAATAGGTAATTACAGTGCACTGTGATAAAGAATAAAATAAAATCAAATGTTTAATGAAAGCATCCACCAAGAAATCCTCAGTGTTATCTGAAGGATTAGGGAGATGTGGATGGGGAGTGAGGAAGGCTTCAGGGGAGAGGGGTGCTTAACCTGGGTCTCGAATGATTACTGGTGCCCCAGGTGGACAAGGAAAGGAAATTCAGCTCACACTGGGAGGACCGCATGTGCAGAGGTACAGAGATGTGAGACAGCACGTAGACTTCTGCGTGGCTCATATCCAGGATATGTGAAGACAGCAGTGGGAAGAAGAATGTACTGAGGGTTGGGGGAAGATCCAGAAGTCTTGCATTTGCCCTCCAGGTCACAGGGAGAAAGGGAGCAAGACGATTGTGCTACACCATATAGGAAGTGGAGGGAGTTCCAGCAGTGGCCTTTAATTCAATCGTGAAACAGACCATGTCATCATCTGCTGGCAGGAATTTGGTCTGGTGCTTAAAGAGGGCTTGGAATTATGGAATAAGAAAATGGACATGAGAGCTGATGAAGATAAGGAAAAGGGATGTTCTGGGGTGACATAGCTCAGGCTAGAAACCATTTACACGTCGTTGCGTCAGTGTAATTAGTGGGGTGATTTCCTCCAGCTGTGTTCAGCAGTGTGCAATTAGAAGCAGAAAGCTGAATAGTTGGAGGGATCCAGAATTGGGGCTTTGCTAGGTGGGTGGGTTGTGAGTACAAAGAAGCAGAGAGTTGAAGGTGCTGGCGAGAGTAGTTTATGGGCTTGACTGTAAGATCCAGTCTGGGTAGGGAAGGGAGTCAGGTCAGAAATGGAAGGGGAGGCCAGAGGATGGGGTGATGTCAGGGAGCATATCTGGGGGTGGGGGGAATGATTGGAGTTTAGTTGGAATGAATGAGTAAGACAACCGGAAGAATAAAAGATCCGGCTGGGAAAGTTAAGACTTTGGAGGTGATATGGCTTCAGGGGATGATAAGATCTGACTTGTGGCCCAGGCGTGGGCTGCTGAAGGGCAACAAAGGTGAAGGCGGCAATGTCAAGCAGGCCAAGGAACTGTCTGGCCAGGTAGTTGATGGGCTGTCCACAAGGGAGCAGGGAGCACGTCTCCCTGTGGAGCTGAGAACCTCCGCTCCCTGTACCACACCTATGGCTTTCTCCTCCCATCTCTGCCCCTAGGCAGATGGCTGCTCAATGCAGGCAGGAGTAGAAATGGCAGGAAATAACAGATAAGAAGTTAAGGCTAGCACTTAACTTAACACAGGGACACATATGTTTCTCAGAAGCAAGGACTGGCTTTACCCACGCTGCTGGGAAGCAGCTGCCAGCCTACGGCCCACGGCCCCTGTGCTCAGCTGCAGACCTTGAGACTTTTCAGTTTTGATATTCAGTGTTACTTTGGGGCACCATCAAACGCTATGAACTGAATGATAAAGATAAGACTGGATTAAGCTGGTTTTGATCTGCTCCAGGACAGGAATTATCTGACTTTGTGATCGCTAAAAAAAAAAAAAGAAAATTCTCCAAATTAAGGCTATACTTTATTCCTGAGCTGAGCATTAACTGATTAAAACCTTGAGGCTTAGGTTTACTACAGCACTATTCACAATAGCCAAAATATGGAGTCAGCCTAAAAACCTGCAAATCGATCTTTTGCAGCAAC